CATGGGCACACGAGCGAATTTGCCAGCGTAAATAATCGCCGGCGTAAATAATCGCCCGAAAATATCTAACATTTTGGATACGGGCGATTCGTGCGGGCGATTAAAATCGGCGTCGACGTGAACGGGCACACGAGCGAATTTGCCAGCGGAAATAATCGCCGGCGTAAATAATCGGCCGAAAATATCTAACATTTTTGATACGGGCGATTCGTACGGGCGATTAAAATCGGCGAAAACGGGCACACGGGCGAATTTTTCGAGCGATTTTAAAATTCGCCGCGATCGGGGGGATAAAATACGCTCGTGTGCCCCTACCATAATATCAATGCGGTGTTGTGAATACACACCGACAACGTGAGCATGGGTGTGAACAACAATGCGCTGCAGCCAATGTTGGCACGGTGCCAACAATGCACGAGCAATGTAAACAACATAGTGCCAACAATTTATGAGCAACATCAACACGGTGTCACGAAGAAAATACAATCTGTTCAAACTTCACCCTCCTGGGTAAATACCAATATTGAGTTTGTACAGCTCGCGTGAGCTTTCCATTGTAATAAATGCTGTGTGCACACACTGGGGATAACAATACTGACGTATATTGGAATAAATTGTGGGAAACATGATTGGCATTGTGTTGGGGAAACCTGAAACTTCAGCTGCTGAACGCCTTCGTTTCCTCGTTATGTACACAACTGTGTTCTTGTAAGCATTGAAATCCCAACACTTGCCCCCTTTGTTGACTTTTTTTGCCTGTTTGAACGAACCGCTGTGCACTGGGTGTAACCGTCGGCTGACTTGTGCACTAGCAAACAAACTTCTAGTCAGAAGGTATATAGTATAGACAGAAGATAAATCACAGGCAAGTCTATTCTGGTCTATGTCCACGCCTGTGTTTACTCTACATATGCAAGCGTATGGTGACCTGGAAAGATGGCAGACTTGTCATACTTTAGAGATAATAGTGCATTTGCAAGCCACCCTGCAAATCCGGCTGCTCCTTTTGAACATAGTCAGTCTTACATGGAGAGCGTCAGAGAGATGAATGGTATATATCACAGGAAAAATCACAGGAAAAATCACAGGAAAAATCACTAAGCCAGTTTTTAGATGTTTACAGGTCCTCCACTTCAGTTGAAACCCCGGTATTACAGCATTTTGAGCTAGCAGACGCTATGGTAAGCATAAAATACTTGAACGTTAGCTCAGCATTACGAACAAGCAGGCCCTCGCGTTTTGCCAAGCCAATTCATTGCGCCCTTTTCAAGAAGACAGTAACACTTACACGTGTTTTACTCAGTGACATTCAAGAGAAATGCACCCAAAAGTTACTCATATCGGTCAATTTTTTTATAAAATATACTTGTACAGTGTCGATTCAGATGCCTTGTTCATGTACCTAACCTTGATAATCTGATGAGTAATGACCTTTATACATTGGAGCAGTTAGATCCTAACCTGTGATTAATGGATCCATAGGGGGGTCCATGGGGTGAATTAAAGGGACCTGTGCCCAATGACAGAGACGGTAAGAATTAATTGTGATGGCAAATTAAATACCAAACAACATTCCAACTTTTCACTAAGCCAAACAGTTGCAGTTCAAGTAATAAAACAACAGCCTTTTCACTGAAATTTGCTTTTGAGCAGAGTTGAGGTTCACGCGTTATTTGTACAATTTGATTGTTTAAACTTTTTCCATGAAGTAGTAATTAAATTTTCCCTGAACAAGTGCCACAGAGCAACAGCGCTCAACTGACGTGTACTGTAGCCGAGTATTCTTCTGATAAACTCACTGGCAACCGAATCAAGTGCGCCCTCCCGCCACCGCGTTGATAGGCTTTGCTATACCGGTAGTACAGTAATAAAGATATAGGTGTGTAACTTTGATGACTTCGCTATTTTAATGTTATCATGAGTTAACATACTAGGTGCATTATTATCATTATAGTACAAAACGTGATAGATACATTATCTGCGACAGGAGATTACAGTATGTACACACTGTATGTTCGTCACGCATTCAATCCTGCACACCACGTATTGTCATACGGTACATTTTTACCTGTAGCAAGTTTAACAAGCAATTGTGTTCGAACTCATGTTATCCTCTTGATATAATCCTCACATTACATCATGTACATGGTCAATCACATGCACAGATGAAAACAGACCAGACATTTTTGTTGGCAAGAATTTACACGCTCGTAACAATTTCTATGTTTATAATACACTGTCTCACTCAGTTACACTTAACATTGCCCATCTCTGCATCCCATCACATACCATCTTCAATGATGACTGTACACTACCTGTTATCTATCATGCGTCATAATATCGCATACACTCATAAAACCAACATCTTGGAGAAAAATGTAACATTGCCCACGATGACTGCTACTCATCAAACAAGGTGTTTCATCTCGAGATGTCACGCAGGCGTGTGCCAACTTTATAAATATTGCTATCTAAGGTAGGTTCCACCTACCAATTTATTCAGCTGTGGTGCAACCTGATTAACGTGCTGATACGTACCGGTGCTTTCTTCTCGATGGGCTTGATGCTGAACTTCTTGTCATGGAACGAGATGTTTCGGATCTCACTCCAGGGAAAACCAATCTTTGGATTGAGCCTGCAAATGTGCAAACCACATTACGTAAGCTACGGAGGTCGTGTCGCGTCATTCCGGGCCAATCCTGGGTATAAACCGGCACATTTTTACAACTACCACTAAAACGAACTAAAATTAACCTGAACTTTCTTGTTCCTTCACAATCACAGTCTGAGCATATTTCTCAGGAGGAGGACAAAACTCCATGGGTCATTTGTATAACGATGAAGGAGGATGCTCTTGGCGATCATAAAACTATACTATTGTCATTTTTCGTGATATTTACTCAAGTTCACATGACACGGAACAACTCTTGCAGATTCCTGGTGAGCATGTAACTATCACTAGTAGGCAAATCTCTAGTAGTCTCTGAGAAATATAAATAGAAAACATGAGACTTGAACCTACTTGTCTGTTGTCGCGTAGATGTTGATTCCAAGAGCATCTATTCCGAGGTAAAGATCAGTGCCTTTCTTGTTCTTGATGTCATAATAATTTACTCCATACATTTCCAGATCTTGTGCTATCTTCAGGTACTCCATCATTGCCTCTTCCCTAGAAATAAAAATGACCATAAGGCATGGCAAAAGTTTTTGATATACAGACCTTGGCATGAAATGGACAGCAGGGAAACAATACTAGGAAACGAAATCCACACACACATGGTAAAGTACAGCCAGATATAACCTCATTCAGTCATAAAACAAAATTTAGGCATATCTGCTACAATAATGCTTCTTAAAATGACACTGAATATTCTGCATATCACTGCTTGTGACATCAAATACTCTTACACAAATACAATACGTGTAAAAGAAGTGCTTGACAGTTGTACAAGACAATGGGTGTACTGCACATGGTCAAATGTGCACTGTAGTGGAGTGCTTGAGAATTGCGTGTACACATACCTGGCCAGGCCCTTGTGCTCAGAGTACCAGGTTGTAATCCTTTCCTCCCACTCATCTCGCGACAGTTTGTGCTGATCAAACACCCTGCAAAATAGGATGGTAATTCCATGCGATGACCGATGAGTGATTTGTGAATAAAGTTGTGAAAAACTACAGCATGATCAAGTACAATGTGGGTTTCACTAAGATACTGACACTCTACCATACAATCAACAAGTGCCTCAGAGCGACAGCGCTCATCTCACGTCTACTGCGGTGACTCTGTGGTGGAGTGGTGGGATTCTAGTAAACCCGGTTAGTCCCAAATGTGTTCACATACGCGCCGAAACAGT